TAATGGACAGGGACTAGCAGATCATGCCAAGCCCCTCTGCCCGCCCCACCCCCAGCCTCAGCCTCATGAGTATGTAATGGGACGTAGCCCATCCTCTCTCAGGAGGAAGCACATGGTACACCTCAGGCGTAGTCATTGGGAACAAGTGAGTTTTCTACTTCAAAGAGCTCATCCCTCAGCCCTGATCTTGATTTCTTCAGGGCTGATTTTAACCATTTCCTTTAACACATGGTGACTTTTTAAACTCTTCAGTGCAAACACAAATTAAAACATCAAAGGGAAGAAGCATAGTGTACGTGTTAGTAAGGGACACCCAGTTGTTAAGTGCTGTTTCGATGATCTTTCAGAGTTCAGAAATGTTGCCTGTCTTCTCTGATTTCCCAATATGCGTATCCTCCATTTTCCTGCCTGTGATATAAGAAAATGCGATGTATGTCATGTGCAAAGACTTCAATTCACTGTCCTCTCCACCCTGAGCCACCTCTGATGCCAGCATATTGCAGAATGAAAACAGTGCTCCAAGTGCACGAGGGGGGCATCCAGTGACAGCTAATGCTGAGCATGGGCAGCAGGTGGCAGCAGAGGCCGGCTGCTGCTGCAGTGGCCCGTTGGGCTGCTCAGGGACAAAGCCCAGAGGCGTAGCTGCTATTCTAGATCCTTCAGTCTCACTTTTCCTGACACAAAGGAAGGAAAGAACTCTGCAAACTGGAACATGATTTCACCCGATCCGGATAATATCCTTCAGTCGTGGTGGGAAACATGCCAAGTGCTATGTATCACAATTAACTGAATCATTGAATTGAAGGGGTGCTAGAAACGCTGGTGGAGACGTCTTGGGGACATGTGAAGGCCCAGCAAACACAGCCCCTGCCCATGAACCTTCTGTCTGGACCTCTGACAGGAGCAGGTTTACTGGTTACTGGGAAGGGAGAGCCTCCAATAGACAGCTTTGAGCCATGAGATCTTTAAGGACCTTTCTGTTGCACGGAAGTTACAGGACACATATTCCCAAGTCATTTGCAAATTGTTTGTATTTAATGTGCTGTGCATGCATCCCCTAACTTTCTCATCGAAGTATTAGTATTCTTCCCGTCACTTAGAATTGTTCTTTGCAGACTCATTTGCAGGTTCTTCCCTTTCTCTGCATCCCTTCCTGTCCCTCTCTAGTAGTGTGAATGGTTTCAGGACTCTGAGGCTACTTTTCATCCTGAGGACATGTCAGGGTGTGTTGGGTGTCAGTGAGCTGGTGGGAAGTTGGGCTCACTATTACACAGAGACTTTATCCCTCCAGCCCCAACAGCTTTCTATGGGCTACGGCCTCAGGTCGTGGTTCTACCCATTCTTATCCCAACCTCTTATTTCCAAGAGGGAGCCTGGTTTCTACACAGGCTCCTGCCAGCAGGCAGTGCACCTCCTCATCAGACAGAAGCCAAACTCCTGGCTTCCTCTTGCTTGCATCTTTGCATTTTCTTTGTTTCTGGCCCAGGAAGAGGTTTTTGTTGTTGTTTGTTTTGTTTTGTTTTTTCATTGTTGTGTCTAGAGTGAAATGGGATGTTGAAAGTGTGAAGCCATAGCATGCTCTTTACTGAGAAAGGTGAGACAAATTTCAACTAAACGTAAGAAAAAAGTTTCTAACAAATCTACCCCAACGACACTGACTGACTTGTGAGTTCAAACCATAGAGTGTCAGGGCCAGCCTGATAAGGTTGAGCTGGGCTGAGACAGGGGGGGGGGAATTGAGAAAAGAAAGAAAAACAGGAGAGCGGGATCTGGAGGACCCCAGTTCTCGGAGAACTGAAGTAACTTTATTAGCCACACAATCCTATTTTTACATAACACACTGAATAGGAGGCCTGTCAAGAGGAATGTATTCTTTGTTCCTCTTAATCTCTAAGGGAGAGATACAGCAGAAGCACAAGTTCTCAGTACAGCAAATCTCAGTAAATAGTTACAGACTTCCTGGTAAGCTATGAAAGGCTGTTCTCATTCTACAAATGTTGCTCTCATTCCACTGATAACCGCCATCCAAACAAGTCTGGGAAAACTGTGTGGATAAGGGTCCCAGCCTCGCTAGCCCCTTTAGGTGCAAGGACCTTGCCAGCTTACATCTGGCCCCCAACAATAGAGGGGGACTAAGAGATCATCTCTCAGAGAAGTTTTAGAGCCTGCCTTCTTTCCCCTTCTCTGAATGGGATGTTGAACTAGATTCCCACTAGGTTCCCTTGCATTTCTTCTGAGAGTCTGGTTCTACCCAGGACTGTTGGGTCTGCAGTCAGCAATCCCCAATTATTGGGATTTCTGAGTTTCACATCCTTTTTAATGCCCTTTAAGTCCCCTTTTTGTAGTTCATTGAAGATACCTCCTTTTACTGGGTTTTGTTTGTGCTTTTAGCTGCATAGGAACAATATGTAGCAGTCACCAGTCATATTTTAGCACGTGGCATTTTCCTCCCCTTTTACTTCCATATTCAATAGCAAGCCTTGTCCGTGTTGCCTGTAAAATATAGACGTGCTGGGCCGGGACCTAAGGAGTTGTCTAGGAGCAAATTGCCTATCTTGGGGAATGGGGGGACTTTTCACACTTGTGTGGATCTGAATCTCTAGTTCCCCAAACTGGGTATGCCTTTCTGAAAGGTTAACACGACTTCAGACTTCATGATAGACAGGCATGTTTTACATCAGGGGTCCTCAAACTTTTTAAACAGGGGGCCAGTTCACTGTCCCTCAGACCGTTGGAGGGCCGGACTATAGTTTTTTTTTAAAAAAAAACTATGAGCAAATTTCTATGCACACTGCACATATCTTATTTTGAAGTAAAAAAACAAAACGGGAACAAATACAATATTTGTATTTGCATGTGGCCCGCAGGCTGTAGTTTGAGGTCCCCTGTTTTACATCCTGGGAAGTAATCATTGTGGAGGAGAAGGAAGTCAGGAGACCTGATAGGACTCCGACAGCCACTTCTCATTATTTAGTCTTCAGCTAATTACATGACCTCTCTGCATCTCTGTTAATAAATCTGCAAATTAACTGAATTTGAATAAGCGACTTCTAAGTTTCTTCAGTGCTCCAAAGATTCCAACAGTGCATGCACTGTCTACAGGACGGCCAGGCCATATCCAGAACCAGGTTTAGTTCTTCATTTCAAGGTTCCCTGCACCAGAAAGGCTAAGAGCCTGGTCTTTGGCGTTTGGCAAGCCTAATTTTGAATGCCAGCTACCACATAAATGATGTGGTATGAAGTAGGACATTGGACTTTCCAAATCTCAGTTTCCTTATCTACAAAGTAGAGACGAAAATTACATCTATCTCAGGGACTCCTTTTGAAGTTTAATGAGACAGTTCACTGGAGGACTTTGCTCAGGGACTGGCCCATGGAAAGCTCACTGTTTTTGTTCATCATGAACTACCTAGTCTATCTTAGCCCGGCTCATTTATCTTCTCATTTCAGTTTCTTAGTTCTTCATTTTATATGTAGTAGTGTGCAATAAATGTACTGTTAAAGTACCGTTTTCAAAAAATATTTAAAAGACATGACTCATAGAAATATAGAATGAATATACATAAAAATGTATACATAGTGCCATATACAGATGATGTATTATAGAACTGTTCTCTTGAAACCTACATATTTTATTAACCAATGTCACCTCAATAAATTTAACTTAAAAGGTATTTAGTGCCTTAATGATGGCTCCAACAACATGATAAAGCTGTTGTTGTTGGGCTTTTCTTTTTGTTTTTGTTTTCTTGAGAAATAGAAGAAAGGGATTATGTGGCTTACACCAAAATAATTTTCTAAATTTGAGTCAAAGTTGGTTTATGTAATCTTTTCAACATTTGTCTCGCTGTAGGACAGAAATCTTCAAGTTAACCTGTACTTATATAGTTCTTAGACAGGCCTGTTAAATACTACTCTAGTATGACATTGTGAGACATTCAAGTTTGCTTTTGCTCTTTTCAAATCTAGGGTAATTTTCCTAAATAGCTGTAATAAGACTAAATCTTAGAAAAAGATTAAACAGGAATATGATTCTAGTACATAAGTATCTATTTTCTGCCTAAACTTATGATAAATACTAAGTCCAGCCCTAATTATGTTTCCATAATGTTTCATTTAGAGAGATACAAGGATATTTAGAAAAACAGTAATTTCTAAGATGGTACTATGGAGATTAACCATTTAACTGGTGCTTACATACACCATGCACCATGTTAAGGGCTTTATATAGATTTCTCTCTGCAAACAATTTTGTGAGGTAGGTCTTATTAACGCCATTTTGAAAATCTGATAAATGTGTCTCAGTGATGTCAGATAATTTAATAAAGATGACAGGGCATATATGAGCCAGAATTGAAATTCATTCTGACTCTAAGTCCTGTATTCCCTCCAGTGGCCTATGCTATATACCTCCCTAAATTTTAAACTCTTCTAGATTTTAAAGTAGATCTCTAGTTAAACATACAGACAAATGGGTGTAGCTTTGCTTATACGACAGAGCATGTACAAAATGGTCCTTTTCCCTGTAAGAGACTTGCCACCTTGAATCTGCCAGAGATAAGTGGTCTTTCTGTTCCCTGGCTGCTGGATTAAAACATATGTTTTAGCCCTAGCTGGTTTGGCTCGGTGAATAGAGCAACGGCCTAAGAACTGAAGGGTTTCAGGTTTGATTGCGACAAGGGCAAATGCTGGGTTGCAGGCTTGATCCCCAGTAGGGGGCATGCAGGAGGCAGCCAATCAATGATTCTCTCTCATTGTTGATGTTTCTCTCTCTCTCTCTACCTTACTCTCTGACTCTCTCTCTCTCTCTCTCTCTCTCCCTCCCCCCCTCCCTTCTGAAATCAATAAAAATATATTTAAAAAAAACTACCAAAAAACATATACTTTAAAGAAATCTAAGACCATTTGATTTTGCTCTTTAAAGCCTCTCCGCTCAGGTGGTCTTCCTTGTAACTTACCTGTCTTTCTTATCCCTCTTCTGGCCCCCAATGTGTCCCTAGGTGGGCTGGATCCTTTCTATTCTGGATGAACTGCAGCTGAGCCCTCAGCCTCCGGTTGGAGTCCTTCCTCTGGGGACTGGGAATGACCTGGCTCGGACCCTCAACTGGGGAGGGGTAAGAACTCTCTCGGGGGCGGCCCCTGGCGTCCAGCGGCAGGCTCCCCCAACCCACAGACGTTCTAATGGAAGGGGAGTACGTTAGAGCTGAGAACCAAGGCACCCACGAGCCACGATTATAACCAGTAACTTACAAGCAGCTAGAGAAGAAGGGAACATTTAGGATTAGAAACGGGGTTAGTACACAGGCCTGGGCTTTTTGAGCTCAACACTAAGACATTGGGTGCGTCCTCAAGTCTTCATTGATCCTGACCCTCAGCCTTGACCAGGATCGCAACTCTGACTCGGATTTACAATGCGTACTTTGGGCAACTTATGGCTTTTTTTGAGCATGTGGTTTCTCCGGTCAGTGTCATCATGGCTTTGACTCTACAGGGAACAGACTGTCCTTTGCACTGTGGAGCCAATTTCAGACAAGTTCAGTGGAGGCAGTTTCCCTGTCACCAACCAGCCATTTCATTACTTTTTTTTTTTTTTCACAGTGCTAAGTCAGTAAGAAGGCACAATATGCTAACATATGCAGCCTACCACCTTTTTATCTGTTCATATGAGACCATTGCCTGGGCTGGGTTCCATGAAAATCATCTTCAGATACTAGAAGATATTAATCTGGCTTTTGGGAGAATTAACTTCCCATAGGAGATAATTATCTTCAGATACTAATTTGACTTTGGGTGAATGAATTAACCTCCCATAGGTCTTTTTTTAAGTATAAATAATAAATATAGGATAGGGCAAAAATAGGATTATAGTTGTGAGTACTCCAAACAGAGTTTATTGTTATATTATTCTTTATTAATTATTTTCCATATGAATAAGTGTAAACCTACTTTTGCCCCGCCCTGTATTTATATGAAGCTACTGGTATATTATCAATGTTAACTCCTCTCATCCAATCAGTGACTTGACAGTCCTTAATAATCATGCTGTCAGTAATGTATGCTCAAGGAGTAAGAGTTCCCAAGCAGGGCCATTCCTCTGTCAGACTTGCCTTGGGTCAAGGAAGGGATGGTGTCCTGCTACAAGGTTAGGGAGAGGTAAGTAAAATGGGGTGTTAATAGAAGAAATTGTCTATCAGAGGCTGCTTTGTTTCTTTTATCCTCTCCTCCAAACCCCAAACACACTTCTGTGCATTTCACAAATCCTTTTAGTAGGAGGCCTGGGGGTCCTGCTTTTACTCTGATGAAAGCAGCCATTCAGAGTAGCCCCTAAACCTACCAGCAACTATTGGTTCTCAGTGTAAGCACAAATTATTCCTCAGCTCTAACCAGCTAGAATTAACATTTCTGTGCACGTTACCTGTAACTATTGTGTTAAGTTCCAAGTACCTGGAAAAAAGGAGTTTACTCTCTCCCAACCTTGCTAATTACAAAACAAACAGAGAACTGTAGCAGAGGGCTCTTTCTTGCATGAAATACCTTTGGCTATACTGTTCACTACTCCAGATGCCAATGGATGTGTTCGTTGGATCCTTAGGGCTACACTGATGAACCTGTTTCCAAAATCCTCTGTCAAGTAGAAGATGGGACAATTGTACAGCTAGATCGCTGGAACCTCCATGTGGAAAGAAACCCAGACTTGCCTCCAGAAGAGCTTGAAGATGGCGTGTGTAAGGTTAGAGAGTTCTTTCTTCGGCAGAAAGGCACTCGGGAGCATCTGTCATGGGAAATACATCTGTGGCTGGAGATTCATGTGCTGCTTTCTTCCTGTGAGATAAAAGGAGAGTGTTAGAGTTTATGGCTACAGGGCTATGCGTCCAACATTACCCACTGATTCTACCCCAGGGGTTTCTAAAGACCTAGGTTTCTACCTGCTTCCAGGGCTCAGGGAGCTGTTCTCTGTCCTCAGCTTCCACACCAGGAACACATGGATCCATGTTCTAATTTTTCCAGTTCATTGCAAACTCTTAACCTAAGAGAAAATGAAATAAAAAATGTATATATATATATATATCCTGAAGCATTAGGAATATGATCTTTCAAAACAAAGATAGCCTTCTGAGATTTCTGGCTTGATAGCAAATGTTCCCAATGTTTAGGATGTATTAACTAAGCCGATTTCATTACTTGCATGGGACTGAAGATGCCTACATAAATGCTTTGATTTAGTGCTTTTCCTTCAGTGATTGAGCTTTTTATTTCAATCCAAGACAAACCAAGGGCGCAGTTGTAACTACTCTAGTGTGGAGCTTCAGTAGAGGATTTGGTTCTAAGTTCTGGCCTCAATTTCAGATAAATTTGGTAGGTCGCCAAGTAGCCACTTCCTCCTTATTACTTCCTGCTTCTTTTCTATGATAGTGTTTTCAAACTTTTGTATGCATAAGATTCTCCAGGTGTGCTTGTTAAAAATACAGATTAAAATACAGATATACTAGCCCAGTCCCAGAGAGTTTCATTAACTAAATTCAGGGTTAAGGCCGAGGTATTTGTACTTTAACCAGCATTACTGCTGTATTGGATTATGCCATTGATTGAGACCAAGATTTCATGGAAGTTTCAGCCTTAAAATAGATTGAACCAGAGAGCATTTTAGACCAAACCAACATCCACTTAATTCATTAAAACATGTTTTGCCTTGGTCTTTATTTTTTTTTTTCACCTAAACCATGATTTAGAAATTATAAGGTTTTTGGTAGATATCATGATTGCTCAGTTGATACTGAGTTCATCATGTCACAGTGTTGTTTAAATACCACTTACTGTCTTGGAATATGATATGTCTTTCTACTATATTAGAATACAGAAATTGGGTAGAAAAGAGCCAAAGTAAAAAGAAATGTACCATATGGAAATGTTAAGGCCCTTTCCCCACTAAACTTAGAATGGTTAGGCCCTCCGTAGAAGTCTATATTTAAATCTCTTCCCAACAGCTCAAGTAATGGAAAGACTTCTTGGTGCAGCCAGGAAACATTAATCCAGATAATTAAAAGGCTATGAAAATGGATTTTTTGAAGAGACATGTAGGAAATTGGGATAATTTTTTCCTGGAAAATACGAATAAGAATTTAATAACAGACTAAATTGGGATATTATTTATCGGATGGTGGCCAGATGTTCCCCTGAGTTATCAGTGAATGTTAAGACATGGGTTAGACTTGTAGCCAAGAAAACATAAATGGTAGAGATGAACATATCTGTGTTCTTGGCAGGATCACCAACCCTTGCTGTCATTATAAGGATGGTATTTTGTTTAAGTACAGGAACTGGACATTCTCAAATGTGAAGCCAGGAAAATGAGACATGATTTTGGCATTGTTCTGTGTGTTTAGTTTCTCTCCCTGTTCTCCAGTCAGTTATAACCATTTCTAGGGGCTGTTTTGACCTCTGAATCATTATAAGCTCTGGCTCAGGGCCTTCTATGAGGGGTTCATTCTTTATTTATATTAGAGACCCAGGGAACCCATTTACTTTCTTTCTGTATTAATATATCTCTCTCATTCTCATTTCATTTTCTATTCTTGGCACAAGGTTTATTTCATTTTTCTCTTACTGGAACAAGGTTCTACTCTCATCAAACAGAAAATCAAGGGGGACATGAAACACTGTAATAAACTTAACTTTTGGAAATTTGAGGGTTAAACATGTATTTCTAGTGCATTTCTCTCTGATCATTATCTGGAAATATTATCTAAACTGAGGTAAAATTACCTATCTGTTTACTTTAATGTTTATCTTCTACTCTAAGCTATAGAAGGTAAAGTGAAAGAATCACTATTTCCCTTCTAACATTTTCCAATGCTTTTCTAATTGTTCTAATACTGCCTACAGCCTAAAAACACATTAATTTCGCAGTTTTTTTAAAAATATATTTTATTGATTTTTTACAGAGAAGAAGGGAGAGGGATAGAGAGTTAGAAACATCGATGAGAGAGATCGATCAGCTGCCTCCTGCATGCCCCCCACCGGGGATGTGCCCGCAACCAGGGTACATGCCCTTGACCGGAATCGAACCTGGGACCCCTGAGTCCGCAGGCTGACGCTCTACCCACTGAGCCAAACCGGTTTGGCTAATTTCGCAGTTTTAATTCAGGATTTTAGTTTGTGTGGTTCTTTGTGTTACTCAGCTTGCAGCAGTAACAGCCAGTGACCCAGAGGATTCTGGGAAGGAAAGCTAAGGTTGGGTATGCACCTTTATGTCTGTGTTCACATATTTCACAGTCATCTTAAAGATACAAGGTTTGAAGAGGGGGAAGGGGTCAAATATGTGGTGATGGAAGGAGACTGGACTTTGGGTGGTGAGCACAAAATAGAGTGTAACCTGAAATTTACCTAATGATATTAACCAATGTTATCACAATATATTTAATATAAAATATACAAGATTTGGCAAACTAGGAATCTGAATAATACTGATCAATAAATGTCTATGTACATATCTATTTGTTTTTTTCTTTTTTTCTCTAGGTTGAGAATAGCTGAATGTCTCCAACTGCTTTATCGCTTATATGACTTTTCAAAAATATTTTTTTAAAAAGTAGGCAAAGGGCAAACAAATTAAACATTATTCATTTTAAGTT